TGTGTGTGTGTGTGTAAAGTATACATTCAACTCAACCAATGAAACACTGTATGCTCTGTATTCTAACAAAAGCCGCACCAGACAATCACCACCTCCCTCTTTCTTTCCTTTGTATCTTCTATTTTTCTTGTAGTTAAAAATAGGTATGGGGTGTATGGTGCAGGTATAATAATCCAACACTGTACATGAGGTACGGACATGGTGGAAAGAGCACACAGTCTCTGCAACCCACTGTCAAAAGAATGCAATTTGCTTTCCTTTTTTCATATGAAAGCTAAAAAAATACAAAGGTCAGTCTGACTCACAGGCCAAAACTGAGATTTTTGCTGTATGCGTTTACTAGTCAGATATAATTAGTTCTTCTTGTGTCCCATCTGATGTTTTCTGCTGTGTCAAATCAGGTTAGAGTGATGTAAAAGAATCCACAGTTGAGATTTTTCCTCCTCTTTTCTCAGAGAAAGTATTTATTCATGGCCTGTGTCTTCAGTATCAAAGAGACACAGAGACATGCTGGGCTGCCTTCACACTGGGGGGCGAGGCAGTCTCTGTGGTTCCATCTCACAGCCAATCAGGACATGGACACCTTTGATCATTGGCGAGGCTACACGTTTTGTTGTTGCAATGTTTTGTTTTTTTCCTCTAAAATTTCTATCATGTAGCTCAGTGTAACATTAAACATGAAAGAATATTTTTACTTGAATCTGGTTGGCTTTTTAGTTCCATTTAGATTACTGTCCCTCATACAGGATATAATGCATTTCTTTTAACATATAAATGTTATTCATATTCCTATTTTATTAGTTGGCTATTAGAAGGCCTGAACTTATCACAATCCAGAGAGACTTTTTCAACTCCACACAAAACGCTATGTTGGTCATTAATAGTCACATTTATGAAACATTCAGTCTATTCCTTCACATTAACAGAATGTCATGTGTTGCAATTGCGATAAAACATATTAGAAAAAATATATTTAGAAATATTAACTGCCACGCCAAATAACTATAACTATAACTATAAATGTTTTTTTTTTTTAAATCGTTCTAAATTTATCATTGGCCAACAATATGGTTGGGATCTCTTTCCGGGTGATTTGATGAACGATATTGTGGTATGCAACTTATTAAATGCCTTTATAACGAAATACTAGGCTGCAAATCACTTGTAAAAAAACGCCATTTTAACTGAGACATACTACCAAACAGTCTTTAGCGCTGATGGGATCCCTCAAGAATAAGATTATGAATAAAATTTGTCTTGTCTCTTATGTTAAATTCTCCTAATTTTTCTCTTCTTGGAAACTTCTGGTTTTCTTTTTGTTTCTTTGCACAACATACTGAAGTAAACAGTATCAATAACTTAATCCTTTGTCCCATTAGTCCCATCATTGTCATCATTGTTATAGTTATTGTTCTTCGTGTGAACGGCCCTTGCGTACAAATTCAACAAACAAGTGAGAAACAAAACATTTAGGGGTGGAAACCAAGGCAGACACTTATGACTGACCTTCTTGTACCTCGAATGACAGCTGCTGTTGCCTTTTTTTTTAAAAGCAACTTTATTTATAACACAGAAGGTAAGTAGGCTAGAGTGACAAAGATTTTCCCAAACAGAAACTATTGGGATCTACTATAATTTGCTCGTGAGCATGTTTTATTGCACTCGCAACATATGACATAAATCTGATGCCATACAAAACGTCTTGTTTGTTTGTATAATGTTGTCTTCTGCAGATTCAAATAATTTATTTCAGTGTGCACAAAACTGAAGACTGGATGCAGGCAGTAACTTCTTAATGGGCCAGTGTGTAAGATTTAGTGG